TGGGTTGGCTTGCCATTTTTGTTATTTTTATTGTAGCTCTGATTCGCGCTTTATTGCATTATAATTGAATCTTGGAGCGCGCAACTAACGCAGGAAACGTTGGCTGACTGGCCACCGTTTCCCGCCCCAGCTGTTGCACTTAATGCCAAGTGTTTAAAAAAAGAGTAAGGGTAAGAGCAAGAGACAGAGGCAGATGGAGGAGGAAGTGAAAAGAAACGAAGTAATATTTACTTACTCCCACACCGTTCGACATTCACCATTCATTTCTCAGCCCACCCACTCATTCCCTTTCCCTTTCCTCGCTGCTCATTTTCCTTATCGCCAGTGAAATGCAATAAAAATTGTTTTCCCATAGACTCTGGTGACGGCGGCTAAGCAAATGTTGTTGGAAATGAGCTATAAAAACGGGAAATTGTATTTTACAGTAAATTTCTGCAACACACAAACTAGCTAGCTAGCTATCTAGACCTGTCCTTGTGTCCTGTAAAACCACCCCCAGACCCCACATCCTGTGACCTTCCACCCACCCATCCACTAGCCGTGTCGACGCTTTCCATGCTGCTGTCGCAGATAATCCGCTGCTGAGTTGGCTTGTCTTGACTTGGCTTGACATTGGCTTTGGGTCGACGTCCCGCTCTGCTCTGCCTCGATTTTATACGGTTCGAATCCGGGTCTGAACAACCCACCACACCAATCCTCCCATCTATCGTGGCTTTATAAGCTGCCAATATTAAAATGATGACAAGTTTATGGCAAAAAGGCAAAGGCTTCGTCAGGCAAAGAATATTGGTAAAAAAAAAAAAAGAGCCAGAGGAGAAACAGATGAGCGAAGGCGAAGCGAAAATGCAATTCATGGCAAGCTGATGTCTCGTGGCTTTATTTATAAGCAACCCACTCTGTCACCCACCACCAGAGCCTTGAACAATGAGAATTATAAAATTCCTCCTGCCTCCTGTGATCAAGAAAGAAATGCATAAATAACTTACTAAGTGAAATTTTAGAAAGTCAAACAAGCTACTCCTAGTTCAATGACAGTTCGTGACTTACAGTTGCCTTGCTTATTTCTTGGTAGATCAATCAAATAATCACAATTAGTAATACTTAAAATAGCTCAGGTGAAGATAGGTCTGCCTGTTTTTCGGATTTAAAAAGTTAGTTTATAACTTAATTTAACTTAACCTTAGAACTATTAATTAACATTATTTCATAATGAAAATGTATACTTCTTAATTATAATTTATAGTTAAGCAGGTCACTTAACCCATAAAAGTTTTATATGTTTAAGAAGATTTATTTTTAAATCAAAAGTTTAAAAATAAACCCAAAATAATGGCAGGAATCGGTTTGGTGACCCACCAAATTGTCTTATCCAGCCTGAAAAATTTACGTACTTCGTATTTGGTTCATTTCCAAGTTCTCTTATTGCATCTCCAGTGCAACGAGGATGAGGCAGCATGAAAAAAGAACGAATTACATAAATAACTGCGCAGTGTTTGTGCCATTTTGGTTGCCACATTTGAATAAAATATGAATAAAAACCGAAATGCATTTAGTTGGATGGCGGAAGGGAGTCGAAAGTGGGTTTTGCAGCGACAGATAGGCGGAGTGGGTGGGGTTTTTTGGGTTGGCTTTTGGGGGTGGCAATATCTCTGCACTGCCTTCCCCGCTCCCTCACCCCCACTGCTCACAAGTGGCTCGACCAGTTTGTCACCTTTTCGCTATAGAAAAGGTCTTATAGAAAGACGAGACTCGTCGTCGTACTCTTTCTTGGATTTTTCCCTTTTCACTGCAATTCACATGCACTGGGAAACAAAATGATGTACTTTTTTTTTAAAGAGATTGATAAAAATATTTTATAAAAGTTTTTAAATAGGCTATTTATATAAGCATTTGTCATAAATATGTCCAATAAAGCAAATGGTTATTTTCCGGGAAAATATAAAATTTTCCAAATACAAAAAAATCGTTCAGTAAATTTAAAATTGGTTAACTTTTCTAGTAACTTTACCAGTTTCTCTCAGCTATTACCCCGACCCTATTCCCCTGTCGCTCCGTCTTCCCATATAGATACGATAATATTTGCATTCAGTTGGGCCTCCTTTCCTCAGGACTCCCCTGTTCCATTACCATTCCTGTTGCAGTCTATTTCTTTTTTTATTTCGCTGTCAAAACGTCAGCAATGTCGTCCTCTTACTCGTCCTCGTCCTTGTCCTCTTCCCGATCCTGGTCCTGTCTTTGGTAGTCCTGTTCCTGGTCCTGGTCCCCCGTCTGGAAATCGTTCCGGAGCGCAGCGTTCGCTTGGCTTAATTTTGGCTAGGGAAAAGTGCATAAAAAATCTGCGGCGAATTTGCAATTTGAATTCGACTCTGCGACCCCGTTGCCTGTGACCTCTTCCTGTCTTATGCCTCCTGGCCCCTAACTCCTGGCCCTTTTGCATACCGTACCTATGTGTGCTAGTGTGCCTGTGTCTCCTTTTTATTGAGCCCAGGACATGGTCGTCGTCCTAGTCGTCGTCGTTGGTTCGGTTTGGAGGCCATTTTCTCCACGAATCCCTCACCCCCAAGAGCCGCTCCTTTTGCCGAGTAGTCTTGGCAGGCAGTCAGGCGGCTATTTAGGAAGTAATTTTCGCGCTTTCATCGCAACTTTTTCTTTTCGCATTCGCTGGCTGTGTGTCTGTCTGCAGATCTTTTTGGGCACGTTATTTGTGCTCCTTGATGGGGCTGAGGCTGCTCCTTTAATGCATTTTTAAAAATGCCAAAATGCGCAAATTGAAAGCGACTCGCCGGCTTGCCAACCGCTCAGCTCCTCGAACACCCATCTCGTCTACGCTAGCCCTCTTTCATTTCTGTGGTCGCCTCTTTTTTGCTCGGGTCACGTGCTCGCAGGACGCAGGACCTTCCTTTCAGGCTGGCGGAGCAGAGAGAGATGAAGAGGACACTATGCCACACGCAGGCATAATTTCAGCCACTGCACTCAGACTTAATGAATATTTTAAGGACAGCTTTCATATTACCTGCCACTGCATATGTTATATGCATAGATGTATGAAAGTTCGCCCAGGACAAATGTCACAAATGAACATCAAATGTTTGTCAAGTTACGAATTTTTTTGAGCTAGCGTAAATGTCAAAGTTCATATTGGAGTGCCTAAATGGGGATTAACTTTTTGGAGGAGACTACTACTCGCTTTAAATGATTGAAGATTATTGTATATATATTTATATCAATACTAGGGAATATTTAAAGTAAAATAAGCTAAGATTACCATACATTTAACTGAGAAACTGCTAAAACATATATGTTAAATTTGTTAGTTATGTTAGGACAATGTTTTTACAACTATTCATTTAACAAAAACAAGTAACATAACTTTCATAACCGCATTTTTACCTAATATTTAAAAAGGCCAATTAAATCAATTTCACACATTATCAGATTCAAAAATAAGTTTTTTAATTAATTGGCATTATATAACCACTCAAAATTGACAGCTAATGATAACACATATAGTTAAGCCCATATTTTAACACGCCATCAAAGTCAGCTTACGGAAACCATGAAAATCCACACTTATCTAACCGCATAAAGTAATTTCAAACAATTTAAACTTTGTGTGTTGGTTTTAAATTTAAATTTAAAATAAATAACTGCATTAATTTCGTAATTGTTTGAATGTTGAGAAGCTCAAGTATCATTTCGACGATACCACCATACACACACACATTTGCCATTCCATTTTGTATTTTTTATATATTTCTTTTTTGACTTGGCATAACACATAATTAAAATTACACACATTTTATATACATAACAGCCAAAACCACCCATTCACCCACACACGCACATGCAGTGGTTACAATTGACCCAAAATGAACTCTTTCCCCTTCAATCTCGCGGGCTTTCGGCCAAAAAATCCCCCGTCCCAAAGATGCCAACCACAATTTAATCTCCCTGGAATTATTTTTCCCCAACCCCCAACCGCCCACAACCCACAGTTAAGCTCGGTTTCTCCTTGAAGGCGTTCTTTCTTTTTCGTTCATTTCAGCCTCCGCTCCGTCCGGATTTCTTTGTATTTGTTAATAAAGTCCCCGGCAGACTAAATTCAAATTACGCACACATCTTGAGAGGCAGGGGGGATGGCAGCCATTTCGCTTATAGGCTGCTCATTATGTCAGGTCTATATTCATATACGACTTGCCTTTTGCCTTAACATCCCATCGCTACTCCGCATAGCGCATCCTCCCCGCCTCCATTGCGTTCCGGTGAGTGCGTGAGTACGTCTCATCCAGGGGATTCCCCCTGACTTGTCGTAACATTTCATCTTTATTTTGGCATTATTCCCCAGGCGCCGCTTATTGTTTTTCGTGAAAATGGCAACGGCAATGGCAACAAATTAGAAGCGTGTGCCCATAGCCCGAAACGAGATGGCAACGAGTTTGGATTGTGGGCAGTTCAGCGGGACAGGGGGCAATATTCTAGTTTCCTCGACTACAAGGACCAGCAGGTGAAATATCCCTTGAGCACCTCCACTTGGGCTAAATTTCCCTGCCTGCTGGCTTAATTATCTAATGGTGAAGTGCGACCCACATTATAGGAATTATGTTTTCAGTTAACAGCTAGGGCTGGGCTAAAATTATTAAGTCTTTTAAAAGTTCTATAACTTATAACTTTAAAAATCCAATCTTCTTTTCGGTTAAGATTTAAAAACAACGAGCGTTATATAGCAACCATTTGCACCACTTAATACAGACAGAAAAAAGGTAATTGATCTAACCAAATGTTAATTGTTAAGGCTACAAAAGCTTCTGGCTGCAAAATACTGGTTTTACCTTTCAGTCAATTTGTTTAGGTCTTTTAGCAGTTTTAAGGCAATTGGTGAGCATATAACTGTAATTACATTCGTAAATAAAACTGGATTACTAAAAAACTAATGGTTTTAATTTTCTAAATTTTTTTTCACTTTGCAAACATTAAATAAATAAAATACACCAATTTCCCTCTGCTCTATTTTCTCATTTATTTATCTCTCTGATATTTTTCTTTTTTTGAAGTAACGTTGTCAGAAAGACTCAATTTGTGATAAATTCATCGTACAACAGATTGGTTAACAGCGTTTTTCATATTTGTGCCTGCATATCCACTTCACTCCATTCAGTATTCAACATTTAGCTTTCTATAGTTCAACTAACATTTGTTTTAATTTACAAAATATACGTGATAACGGCAATAATCCATGTGTATTGTCCTCGAAGCGTATCCATCTTTCCCACTCGCAGGATCGATCAATATTTCATCCAGGCTCCTTTTCTTCATCCTCTTCCTCAATTGTTATAGTATTATTCTCCAGCGCCAACGATTAAACATATAGAATATCTCTGTATACAAATATCCAGATGGATTAGCTCTATTTCTTTAAGCCCCAGGCATTGTTACTGGGCACCGGGACACGACGTTGTCCGGACTCGCGGGCCAGCACCTCCATGATGCTCGTAGCCGGTAGCCAGCACTGCAAAGCAAGTTAGATTGCGTAAGTTTAGTCTTCACTACATTAGCTTCTTGAACTTACCCTTTCTTTGTGGGCCGTGGCCACGACATTACGATTGGGCTCCTTGTCATAGGAAACCGACTCTATGCCAAATATTTCGCACAACTCGTGCACCAGCTGCCTCTTCTCGCGGTTCATTGTGGGGAAGGAATGGCTCCTCGAGCGCTGCTTGCTCTCCTTGGCCAGCTTTACCAGATCGGTCAGTGTCTCATAAACGCTCTTGGTCAACGCAGGGTTTCTCTTTGCGAAACCCCGAACAAACTCCGAGTACTTGGTTAGGGTTTTTTGCTTTGTATCGGAATTTCCTGAGGATAGAGCCACGGCCAGGCGACGATTTCTTTCTAATAACCGGCATTCGTCGTTGCAATCCAGACTACAGGAAAATAATAAATTATTATTCATTTCAAAAATAAATCGACTATTTAAGTATCAAGATCACATACGTCTTATTTGACTTGTTGGTCTTCGCTGGGGCCAAGATCTCGCTAAGCTCCATATAATTCCCACGAGACATCTCTGCCATGGATGAGGCTAGCTGAGCAGTGGCAATACGACTGTGCTCCCTGGCCAGCTCCTGGCAACTGCGGTTCTGCTTACGGTGCCCGCACTCGCACTGAACCTCAACCACCTCTTTGCAAGGTGTCTCCGGGCAGGCTCCCTCGTGGCAGGCGGCAGCACACTTGTGACCACAGTTCGATCGCGGTTTGGTGCAACTCTGGCGACAGATCTCGCCGGCTGACTGGCAAGCGCCTTCATGACATGGTTTGATGCACTTGTGGCGGCCACAAGGCAACGGCTTTCCACAGGCCAGGCCGCAGCTGAAGTTGGGCTGCGAGCAGGGAATGGTCTTGCGCTGCTCGTGGTTGCCATGGCAAAACTTCGTGGTGAACATCATGCAAGGAGGACAGGTGGCCGCCGAATGGCAATTGTGTTGCGGCGGATGCTCGCAGGGATGGGAGCGCGAGCAGGGACGCTTGCAGACTGGCTTCTTGGTACCACAAGGCACTGGCGGATAGATCACTTCAGCGCCACACTCGCAGTAAAGCTCTTCGAAACTGCTGCGGTAGCATGGCGGACAATTGCCACGATGACAAGGCTGGTCGCACTTGTGTTTCCCACAGCTCAATGTTCGGTTACAGGGCAGCGGACAAGCGTGGTCTATATCGATGCAGCACTCAGCATTACACTTGTGCTTTCCACAGCTTCGCTTCTTAGTGCAACGACGCTTGCAGCGGGCATCGTCCGCCCGGCTGGATAGTTGTCGGCACTTGATCATCTGGTCCATGTGGCCGCAACGACATTTCACCGCCGTCTGTTTGGGACATGGTGGACACTGACCCAGGTGGCATTTGCTACCGCACTGATGCGGATGCGCCGGCTTTCCACAACGTAGCGTCCTTGAGCAGATGCCCTCACAAGTGGGGACAGGATCCAAACAACTCGACCGCTGAGTAGCTGGTACAGGCATCTTGCCGCAAGGACAACTGGTTATCTGTTCCGGACTAAGCTTACAAGGTCTGAAAAAAAGATTTCATAGATTAATTGGATATACCTCATAGTAGCAATAGGGCAGGGTACAGGGTAGAAAGACCAGACCACTTTCGCGTCGAATATATTAGCATACGATTGGCTGATATAAAAGCGGTTGGTCAATTTTAGTAAGATTTGGTATATATGTTAAGGTCATGTTTAATGCACATATTTTAAGGAAAGAAAATCGATGTTGAATGTTTCAATAAAGATTGAGCCTAAAAAGCATTACTCATGTATTCTCACCTACAGCTGCCGGCATGGCAGGAATCCTTGCACTTGTGGTTGCCACAGGGAAGCGGCTTGCCGCAACTCTCCTTACAGGAATAGCTGCGCTTGTCTTGGTTTTCTCGCGTGCACTGTACCTGGCGCTCTTGCTTGCCGCAGTGGCAGTGCTGCTCAACCTGCTCAGGACACGCGGCACACTTGCCCGAGTGGCACTCCGACTGACAGCGATGCTCGCCACAGTTAAGCGTCTTGTCGCAAATCTCACCGCATAGAAGCTCTTCTTTCATGGCGCACTGCATTGTTTTGGAGCTGCGTCCGCAGCCACAGCTGCGTACTACGTTGGCCTGACACGGAGGACAAGGGCCCGGATGGCAAAGCAAAGTGCAGGCGTGGCTGCAGCCCTCGATTCGGCAGCAAACCTCGCCGCAACTGTGTGCCAATTCCGACCGCGACACCGGCGGATTCTTTAGCTTGCCACAAAAGCAGAGATACTCTCGGGGCAGCTCTTGGAGCACATTCTGGCAGGCAGGACAACGCCAGCCCACCTCAGACTTCGAACTGCTCGCCCAAGTGATGGTGCACTTGAGATGGAGCACATGGTAACAGTTCTGGCATGACCAAGTCGGCTGATGAGCCTTGATAGCCTCAACGCACACCAGACATTCTAGTCGGCGCTGTTCTATGTCACGTATCAGTTTCTCACGCTGCGATAGCTTCTCATTATCCGCTGGTGGCGGCGGTGGAGCTCTCCTGGGAGAGATTTGCTGCTGTTGCGACTGCTTTTCGGGCGATGGGTGGGCACTCTCGTTACTCGTGTCCAGATCATCAACGGCACGCGGAAACCCGTTGATGCGATCCCTGTTGCGATTCCAGTCATCCCTACGTTTATTGCTGCGATGATTGTCGTAGCGTTGCTGTTTTTGCGGTCTCCTGCGATCATTCCGCTCGTAGCGATCCTCCCTTTCCCTTCGGTCCTCTCTCTCCCTGCGATCGTCTCGATCGTCGCGGTAGTCGGAGCGTCGCTGCTGACGCGTGCTTCCTGGTCTCCCTGAATCCCTGTCTCGGTCCCTTTCGTAGTTGTGGTTTGATCGGTGGTTGTTGCCTCCCCTTTCTGATCCTCCTCCTTCGGCTTGCAGTGTCCTGGGTCTCGTCTCATTTATGGCAGTCTCTTGGCTGGCAGTGCTGTTACCGTTTGTCGTGGCTGCCGGAGTCTCATCTAAACTCAACTTGGCCAGATTGGGCACGAATTCTGGGGCAGAGGCCTGCAGCTTGGAAGCGCTGAAGTCAAACGGATTGTTGCCAAACGGTGTGTAAAGACTCGAAAAATTACTGCTGGTGGCGTTGCCCGATCCATAATTGTTAGTGAAGGCTTCGATTGCGATGCCATCTCCATTTTGATACGATGGGAATATGGGCTGCGAATAAAACTATAGAAAGAATATATTTAGTTCTACATCTCAATTTATTATAGATCTGATTAATTAATCAAAATAAAACCTACTTTAAATGGTCTGAATATTTCATAAACTTTAGATTCTTCATATGTTTGAAATTGGGAGTTGGATGACTTACATTCGCAAAGTTGTTAGAGTTGGTTGCTGTTGATGGTGGATTCAGTCCAAAGGCTCCACCGCCTCCGCCCAAGGTGTAGTTCGTGCTGCTGTTGCTGTTACTGTTGCCCAGTGGATGTTGCATAGTTCCTGCAGCATTGGATGATGCTCCGCCGCCCAGATTGTGCTGCATGATGAACTGATTGAAGTTCACATAGTTGTTATTGCCGTGGGCGTTGTTAGAGCCACCCACTGTCGGCGCTTCATGGCCCCCATTGCAAGAGGCAACGGCCGGTGATTCATTGCCTGGCCTTGCTCCTCCGGAGCCGTTGGTCAACTGCTGCCAGTATTCAGACATGGCAAGTCCTGTTGCCCTGTTCGGCAGCTCCTTCTTCTGATGCAGCCTTCTCTTTTCCGCCGGAAAAGTCTCTTCCTGCCAGCCACTGGCTGCTGGGCATTTCCCAGCACAACCCCGGGATTGTCCGCAATCCACGGAGGTGGATTCCGATTCCCAGCAAAGCTCTAGACACGTGTGCAGTGATGAAATTGTGCCCGCTGGTGAAATTGGCCGAATCGAAAGCTCTGTTCTATAAGATTTTGTGAAAGCCTACTGCAGGCCAACTGGACGCCACGCCGCCAGTATCCGCGGTCACTTTTTTTCTGGTTTACAGGCGATTCGTGCGTACTTTCCGCTCGCTTAAATTTATTAATTGCTAACAAAAAAATATCTTCCACTGCCAATGTGACCAAACTGGGACTGTTCAAATATGCCTGTAAACTTATTAAGTGTGACCGAAGTGAAAATGTTCGAAAATGTCGTATTATCTAGCAGAGACTCGAACCTGTAATGATCAAGTTTAATTGCAAAACTGTCTGGCAATATTGGTCAGTTTTAGAAACCGTTGATAAGTGACCGTTAAATTAAAATTGTATTTAAATTATGAGAAAATCGTTAAATTAAATAAATTGTAAAAAAATTCTTGCTTTTTGTGAAAAATATGATATGTTTTCTTTATTTCATGTTTATAATTAATTTTCCATTTTATAATAAAAAAAGTGTTATTTTACTTGATGTTAACCGTATACAGATATATACCAATGATAAGACCATAAAGCCCCAGAACCTCGGCAAAAATCAAGATCAAAATCATGCCGATGAAGAGGCGTGGCTGTTGGGCAATGTGACGAACCCCAACGTCTCCAACCTCACCCACTGCATATCCAGCAGCTAGACCAGCGAATCCCACAGAAAGTCCAGCGGCTAGGTGTACATATCCAGTAGGTAGAGAATAATTGATAGAAGGTTGCAAATCGCCAGAGAGAAGCACGGAAACAACCAGACCATAAATAGCAATGATTCCTGCCATAACAACCGGAATAATCGACTTCATGACCAATTCCGGACGCATTACTGCTGTGGCGGCTATTCCGGTGCCGGATACAGCAGTCCCATACGCTGCTCCAGCCGAAGTCAGCACACTAGAGAAGACAACGCCCATCACTCCATAGAAAGGTGAATACGGAGGATAGTTCTCTATAATCAAAGGTAAAATGCTTGTTTCCTTCATATTTAGGCTGTCAATTAGCTCGTGAACGTGTAATGTCTCGGTTTCATTCATTTCTGGAAATATGTCATCCATTTTCTTAGTTTGAAATGCCGCTAACTGGAAATCTAAAAGTTATGGATAATTCTTAACTAAATATCACAGATTTACTTGAATGATATGCTTCCTTTATTTTATCAATGAACTTCTGATCTGAATAAACATCCAATGGTAACTATGTATGTCTGATTCATTTTTTTATTTTTTTATTTTTTGTCTAATAAAGTTTATTTTCATAAATTCTAAACATAATACTAACAGCTTAAATACAAGGGCAAGATTGACTTATAAAAGGTTTTATAAAGAGTTTTAGAGTTATTACAATTTAAAAAAGCCATAAATTGGCAAGTTTATGTTGGTTCCTTTTTACAAACAAATTATATAATGCACAAGTTCAAAGATCTGTGACATCGCTGTTTTTGAAGTTTTTTGATTAACCTACTTACTACTCCTAGTATTATGTTTTTAAGCAAAGTGTGACTAAGGAATTTTTGATATTAATCCTAAGATGAATAACAACAATGAAGAACTATGCTTGGTAAGTGCTTTAATTTTGGTTGATACTGCTGCTGATTCTGCTACCAAGATCCATTGATTTAGAATGTCCTGAGATTGCTAAGCAGAGTTTGTTGAGTCGGCGGTGGTGGTCCAGGAGCTAAAGGACCAGGTGGTGGTGGCATCACAAATGTTGGAGCCATGGCCAAAGCCAACGAGGATGGTGGTACCTGTTGAGGACCTTTACCCGGCACTGAGACTGCAGAGGAGGTGACTCCATCTAGTGGGCGGTACTGGCACTTTTTGGCATGAGTCCGCATGTTGCTTGACTGGGTGAATGCTTGGTTGCAATTGGGATGTGGACAGACATAGGGTTTGCATCCAGTATGGTAGTTAAGGTGGGTCTTAAGGTGATGCTTCTTGGTGAAGGCCTTGGGACACAGGGGGCAACTAAAGGGTTTGATTCCAGAGTGCAGACGGTGATGCAGGGTCATGTTGCTGCGATCGGCAAAGGATTTTCCACACACAGAGCACTGATAAGGTTTTTCCCCACTGTGGGTTCTCATGTGCTGTTTCAGTAGCATTTTCCTAGAAAATCTCTTGCCGCACTCGTTGCATTTGTGAGGTTTTACTCCAGTGTGAATCCGGACATGCATATTAAAGGCCACCCTTTGGTTAAATGACTTGGGGCAGTATGGACACTCGTATTCCTTCCGGTTTCGGTGAATCTTTAGATGGCTACTGAGATATCCCTTGTCGTTGAATGTCTTACCACATTCGGGACACTCAGCGGCAAACTCCTTGGTTCCCCGATGAACGGAGAGGTGATACTTGTAGTTCCGGAGCTGGGAGAAACCCTTTCCGCAATCAGCACACTCGTATCGCGGGGATTTGTGAGTCTTTTCATGAGCCTGAAGGGTAAACCGAAAATACAAATAAATTAGTTTGTTATATTTTAATTTCAAGAAGTGCAATTAAACTTAAAGTTAAAGTTATAAAATCTCGAAAAGAAAACCTATTGAATGTCATAGTCCCAAAACTAAAAATGTGAGACGATATATTTTGGGCACCTTATGCCATTATTTTTATATATATTTTAAAAAATTATTAACAATATTTGAGTTGGCAAATAAAATTTTTTTATTCTCTGAGGCCATTTTGTGAATGGCTCTCTTTCGCTCGTCTGCGTGCCCTCTCTTTCTAACGTGTCTGGTAGCTGCGCCCTGCACCCATGCGTAAAACCAGTTCTCTCTTTCTGGGCCCGCTTCTGTTTTTGGCCGACTCCATTTTGAAGAAACCGTTTGTGAGATTTGCATAAGACACCCGATTCTCCGCTGCTCTCTTTGCCCCACTCCACTCGCGTCTGAACCTTTCTCTTTGGAGCTCCGCCCTCCCATTGGATATCTGCTACTTCATTGGCCAAGCTCCGCCCTAATCCAGATGCTATCTTGGTTGGCCAAGAAACCCGTTTTGGGAGGATCTCCTATGCCTTTTGACTTTGAGGCTTGGGTGAACGATAATTTGAATTGATAAATGGGTATGTGAAAGGTTAATGCTGTTCTTGCAATTCATCTGGGCTTAGACACAATGGAATTTGACTTTAAAAATGCTTTTTTGCAGTTAATAATACTTAAACTGGTATGAAAATCAATCGATAAATATTTGAAAACTTGTTAGTGAACGGTTGAATTTGTAATTAAAAATACGTTAAACAAAATCATTTGTTTCTGCTAAATGTTTGTAAATAAGTACATAAGCCTTTAATGTGAGTACTTATAAATCTTTAATTAATATTTAATTTATAAGCTCAGTTCAAGTTTTTCGATCCTTTTCAAATTTGTTTCAAAAGTGTTTTCAACAGGAATTGAATAAAATGGAAACGATTTTCAAATCAAGATTTAATTAATGTCAAAAATAAATCGAAAATGTGAATATTATAATAAGTCTAAAAGCTGAAAATTACTATTTCTTAACTAACAAAAGTTTTTGACTCTTTTGATTAAAAAATTAAAATCTGAAAAAATCAAATATCTCACCTGAAGAGTTTCCGAACATCCAAAGACCTTCTCACAAATCCTGCATTTGTAGCTGATCTCCTCGGCTGATGTAGCATTGTATCCACCGACGCCACCAATTGCTCCGCTATTACTGCCGACGGCTGTGGTTACCAATCCTCCTGCCATTTTGGGCATCAATCCGACGGCTGATGTTTGGACCGAGTTCAGACTCAGATTGGTAACGGTGGTCAGTGAGATGTTAGTGCCGGCGGCTCCTCCTGCGGCTCCTCCTGCGGCTGTCATGATCAGATCTCTAACAGGACGCACCGAACCACTGGAACTGCTTACTGAGGAGGCGGCAGGTGAAATAAGGGGAGTGGCCTGCTTGTAACCACCAGCCTGCAATCTTTGGTAATAATCCAGGCACTCCAGGCAATCTGGTCGAGTGCAGGCTGTGCTTTTTGGCCGAATGAGAGTCTGCTGCTGCTGTTGTTGATGCTGTGGAATCTGTCCATTGATCACATAAGGAGCAAAGAAGCGTTTTTGCTGATTTGGCAAAGGCTGCTGCTGCGGCTGATGATGTTGTTGGTATGGCGATGTGGGTGGAGTACTCAGGCCAGCAGCTGCTGCAGCAGCCGCATAAGCGGGGAGTAGATGCGGGAAGAATTGGGCATAGAATTTGGTGGCATTGGCCATGGCCACCAAATCAGGTGGCAACATGTTGTAGCCCCCATAAGGAGATGCAGGGATTGCTAGTCCTCCGACCGGTTGAGGACTCCTAATACTACTTGTACTGTTGCTGCTACTCTTGGAGAGGTCCAGGATACTCGCGCCCGTATCCTGAGCAGGTTTACGCTCCTTTCCCAGGATTTTACTAATACTAAAGTCAGTGACTTGAACCGGTGGCAGCTGGGCGGCTCCCAGATTTTGGACACCATTGGTGGGTGAAGTACGTGCCGGCGAGGGCGACAGATCATAACTGCGCTGCAGCATGGCGTGCTTGAAACCCATTCTTGTCCACGCCGAAGAATGACTCATAGACCGTTGGCGTTACGGATTTTGATTGGTTTTGTTTTTTGGCTTTTGAGACGGAGAGCTATGAACCCGGGGAACTGTCGCGTTACGCGTCGAAACACGAAATGTCTTGGGCTCACGGCCCACAGCAGCCGTCATCGTCTTTTTGGCCAGGCCTAAAGCCAGACTTACGCTCCCGCTCTCGAATTTAATTGGTCAAGAAACAGGTTTCGCCTCGAACTGCTTGCTCTTTTGCTCTCTTCGAAGATTAGGGCTCTCCAATTAACCGGGTTTGACTGCTGGAGACAAACTGTCGCGCCTCCAATTACGAGAGGAGCTGCAATCTGCAGGCAGGAGAACCATTTGGTAGTAGCGTTCTACTAGTCACATCTATCATAAAGCTTATCGCTGCCCTCAGATCGCTCGGATCGCTCTTTCTCCCTGCTGGTCTCACTCTCTCTCTCTGTTTCTCTTTCTGGTCTTAACTGATAAAGTGACTAAGATTTCGTTTTGGCCGCGTTGTTTTTGTAATTAATTGCGGTAATAAAATGTGCGCATCGTTAAATTTTCAAAATGTATTTCTCTTGTTCCTCATCCTCATCCACATTCACATTCTCATCCGCATCCACCTCACATCCACATCCTCGCCCGATTCCGATTCCCAGGCATGTGTGAATCTTACGGTTATGAGCATGCGCAGCGATCATCTTTTCAAGTGGCTCTTTTCGTCACAGCAGTGTGTTCTTTTTTTTAGCTGTGTGTGCTGAGTGTGGGAAGGAACTGCGGCTGTGGACTAGATGACATAACCGCTAGGAATGACCAAACTGGAGTATAGGATGTCAAGAATTTGTATGGCGAATATAAAGACCGGTGTTATATAGGTTTTATAACGGTTCATATTTACGGTATTCTACGAAACTGAACTTAACAGCCGAAGACAGGTGCTTCGGTGAACTGCTCTATGGAGTTTCTCTAAGAATCCAAAGGTTTTCGTGTGGCTAAGGATATATATCTTACTTATTCAGCTGTAAAGAGTTTTGTATGATTAATTCCAATTTATTAATTTGTATTTCTACTTACGTTTTATCTATTAAAAGATTTTAGTTAAAAACTTACAAGCAACAGTAAAACATATATTTTTGTAAAAAAATTATTACCAATAAAGGTTCTACTCCCTATTAAAACATATTTCAGGATCCAGTTTTAAGCCCAATAAAAAACTAATTTCGTTAGCCCAATTTCACCTAATAATTTCTAAGCCGAAACCTAGACCACCTTCCTTCAAACCCAAGCCATTAAATCCAGCCCACATCGCAAATCAGACGAAGGCAATTTCTTCGACTTGCATAGCATCAGTAGCGACCATAAAAATGTGCAATACAAAATGCTCCGGGTGATTTGTGATTGGATGAAAAGCCCATAAATATCAAGGGACCCAAGCGGAGGACTCTGACTCTGAGGATCCGATGAGGTGAAACCAGATGGTGACACACAACGAGAATTCAAGGAAGCTCCTAAAAAACAAATGAAGTGGTATACATTTACAGCTACATGGAATGGGGATCTGGGGAAAATGGAGTCGATTTTGTGACTCACAAGGACTGCGAGTCACGCTCCTAATTGCCAATTACCGAATAGAGTTTCTAATGGCTGCCATGGCACAATCTTGTACATGATTTGTCCACCATCACTTACAAAACGATCTTATCAGGATTACCTGTTTGAGAAGCCCCAAGAACAGTGGCTATCTAGCCCAACCAACTACCGATCCTATGACCAATGATTGATAATCGGTTGACTGTCAACACGCGCTGCTCGCCTCGGTTACCCACGATCTGCATAAATTTCGATTATACAGGCGATTCATTATAATTATATAGTATATATATAATATATATGCATGAGGATCGACCGGGTGGATAGAGAACAGCAAAAACATCACAAAACTTGTTCAACCTTAGTTGAAAAACTCTTTTTTCGTATTTCGTTTTTCGTTTCGGTTGACTTTTCGTGGAATTCTGGCCGATTATTTACATATGCGAAGCCAAGGAAACTTAAGTTTTAATTACACTCACTAAATCATCGGACTTCTACAGTCGCCAGGAGACTTTGTTATGTCGCATGACTAATGTTCATTAGCTGCTAATGGTTTGTTTTACAAAAGCTACGTGGTCGTCCCCCAAACGAGGTCCCTCGGATCCGTAGCATCCCATCCTCATATCGCATCCCAGTGAATCTCAGAGGCCGCTCCAAAACTGTTTCACCCGTTGACATTTTGACAAATTTCCAACTCCTTACTACCGTCGTTGTGCACGGTCGTCGTTCCAGCTCCAATGTAAGCTGATACCTATCTGAGATGACCAGATCTTTACCTTTGGATCCCCCAAACCCCCTCTCTTCTTCTTCTTTGTTCACACTATTAATTTTCCGCTCGTTATTGTGGGGATTCTTCGGTAGAGTTCGGTAGATGGTTCCTCCTCATTGGGGTGGTCGGCATTTATCTTATTTTGTGTGCGTTTAAAACTTCTTTGTGAACCTCTTTAATGTCATGTGTTATCGGTTAATGATCAGCCGCGTTGCCAAGTGATTTTCTGTCAGCGGGTGATCAACTCTTATTCGGATTTCCCCTTCGATCTTCTCCCCCTATGAACTTGGTTGTTCTCCTTTCGGTTTCCATTTAACTGCCTTAGTTGGTTGGATTTTTGGTTCTTTTGGGCCTTCTCATCTGCGCCTTGTTATGTGTAGCTTGACAAATGTGTTGATTTGCCAAGTTTATTTCCAGCGGTGGTGGGCCCAAAACATTTTAGCATTAAGATTAAGCGACCTTTTTGGGGTTGCTGATTTCTCAAGGTGAAAATGCCAATTTTCAAAGTTCGTTTTGGTTCAGGTAAAAATCAGTGAAGCCTTAAAATATATTCCAAATTAAAAATACATTTTAAAAAGTGTTAATGAATGAAGATTTTCCATTAGTTAAATATATTTTCAAAGGTTTAAAAATATTTAATAAATCGACTAGTAATAGTATCAATTTCTATTAATTGACGGCAAACTTAAAAGTCTCAACTTTCCATGCAAATTCTCAACAAACGCCCACCTCCAAAATCTCAATGGTCTAAACGCCCTACAACATTTATGTATATGTCAGGCCATGGCAATAAAACAAAAGCAGGGCCTAAACAACAGCGTTTAGGAGGTGTTATACTATTGTCTACCCCAGATATAATTTATATGGATGGAATAAAAGTTCGCTGAAAACGAGACAGAGACAAAGGAGAGTAGATCTTCATGAATTATATATGCCCACCTATATATATATATATATATAATATATACAGATCCAAAGTGGGTATACTATATGCATGCGAGGCGATGTTGTAGATCACAATCATTTCAATTAATTCGAATATAAAAAATACGAAGTGGAGACGGCGGCTTTTGCAAAATGAACCGCGTGCGCTCGAATATATCAAATTTCAATATAAATGAGCCACAAACATAAATCAAGAGGGGATGGGCCCCCCTTTCTGGTCCCTCATTGCTGCTTTTAAGATCTTGAAACCCCCTCATGGACCCCCCAGATTGAAAAACACACGAAAGTGAAGAAACAAACACGCCCGAGATCGTTTGACTTTTAATGCATCCTAAAAAACAAATGCCGAAAAAATAAACCCAAATTTAATGGACTGACGAATAGCTGTCAACGTCTTTTAAGGGAACTTTCTTTGCTCTTAAAATGTAATTTATTTTATTTTTACAACAATTCAAACGAAAACAAACAAGTAGACGGCGATGGGAGGCGAGGCGAGAAAGAGAGATAGAAGGCAGCAAGTGAGAGGGAGGGCGATGCTAAACATTTAATCGGACGTTAATTATGTTAATGAAAACACATTTCAAATGCAAGAATTAAAATCAAATTTTTCAATTTAAATTCGATCGCATCGCATGGACCATTTTTATTCGAAAACACATTTCATTGGAATCCCAATGGGTGAGCGGGACGTACCACTAACTGTGCGAGCGAGAGAGAGCAACATAGCGATCTGCTTATTGAGAAATTGTGTGGAGAATAGTGATAAATCTTTGGAGATGGAACCCAAACCAAGCCAGCTGGGAACAAATGTTTCTCCGTCAAGGGGAATGCAAAGTTGTCGCCAACGCAAACAGGTTGTTTGCCGTTGCCGTCGTTGTTGTTGTTGTTGTTGTTGTTCGTGTGTGTCCGAAATTGAACGATTAACTACAAATTTGAGCATAGATTAAACTAAGAGTGCACTGGGAGAAAAATGTATTTCAAGAAAAGGATTCTTATAATGCACAAATGAAAAATAAAAATGGTTCTCTTAACCAAAAATATTTGTTATTAGAGTAAAAATGTAAACTTTTGGGATATAAATTATATAATTTAAACTGTCTCCTTTTGTAGTGTTTTATCTTTATCCTTTAAGCCCTTTAAGAACCAAATAGTTCCGACTTTTGTGATACAATTTACTGCTCAAAATGGCATAGCTTAAGTAAGTAAGTAAGTAAGTAGTAAATCTTAAAAAACATTCAAAAATAGAAAATATCCATAAACAATGCCTTTAAGTTTTTACCATTAATTTCTAAACCCGTACCCCATATCAGTTTTCTTTGAGTGCATTTATCTTAACAACAAAGTTAACATTTTTTCGCAATAAACTTTTTGTGGTGCCCGCCACACATTTAAATGCGCTACATTATTTTCTCATTAAGATCTTGTTGCGACCGCCCAGATGTTTTTGGCTTCCTGAGCAAAATCAATCAAATCTTTAACGATGTGACAGGTTAACAAGTCTCTAACTGCCGAAAGGAAAACGCCCTAAAAGCAAAGTGATCCATTGGCCAAAATAAAACTATATATCTACCATATATAGACTTGACTTGGTTTTTGTTTAGTTTATTGGCTGACTTTGATGGCGCCGACGAACGGAGAGTGCGAAATTTGCATAATTTAATTATGAGAG